CGTCCTATCCGATGCTGGCCGTAGACAGCGTCCAGGTGATTTCTAACGCTCCCTGTACATCCTCTGAGCAGCTAATTCGTTTCCTTGTGCAACTCCCGTACATGAAATGCACGTCGGCAAGCTCCACATTCCTGAAACGATGCATGCTGTTTGAGATCCGTGTGGGGAATCCAGCTAGCAAGAGCTTTTATACGCCGCAGTCATCAGCGCTCCCTACCGGCTCAATACTGCACACACAATCCTATACGAAATATGCTTATTTATGTCCCCTCTACCTACCTTTACATTTTTGACGCATATATTTGAGCACCACCCTGTATACACGAAACAGTTTTCTTAGGTAAAAAATAACTATTAACTAATCTTGGTAATCACGGATATTTTTTCCTTGCAAAAACAAGTTAAAAATTTTTCTCTTTTCAGCAACAATCATTAATTCAGTGGTTTGAAATTCTAGAAACGTGTTTTCTTAATCTAATAATGTATTTCGTTAATATATAAATTTTTAGAAGTTTCTATAAACCTAAACAATGTAAGGTTAACTTTAATTGCAATAAAATGGCATGATTGTGGTTAATGTAATCATAACTATCATGCTCAATCCGAGATCGAAAACATAGCTTTTTTGGGACAAATATAGACCGAGAATATCTAGTATAATCTTTATTTCAGTGAACTTAAGATCTGAAAACGTGTTTTTCTCACACTGATAATGTAAAGTCAGAAAAAATTATAAATATTAAAAAAAATTGAAATTATTTTAAATTTTTTAATTATTTTGGTATATGTTTTTCAATTGATTGCGCAGTGTTAAACAACACCAATTTGTTCATTATCTTCGTTTACCCTTTATAAGTAATACAAATAATTTAATAAATAATTAATTATTAGCTTTCAATGATTTAAACCTATTATAAATACATAACATAAAACAAATTTAGAGTAAAGCGAATTTTCAGCATTCAACAGGCGCTAGTCAAAGGAATTTATTGTACGAAATGCGTAGATCGTATGAATAAATTCTATTTATTCATATGATTATTCATACGATAACTTAGGATAACCACTTCCGTGATTATCCTAAGTTATATCGAGCTCATATATTTTGGAGTTAATTATTATCCCGAGAAAATTTCGGGCTTAACAGAAATCGTCATCATTATTTGTTTTTATCTCGTCGTTAAAGGAAATCGTTTGCTTTGATATGCAGATATTGAGGTTTTTTTTTATTTCGCGTTCCAATGGTCAAAATTCAATTTACATGGCTGAACAGTAGCATAACCATTTTGGAATAGAAAATTTATGTTTTGGAGCGAGTAAATTTGATTTTTAGAGCAGATCTGAGAGAATAGTTTTAATAATCGGAGCAATAAAGTGCTTGTAAAATTACATTTGCGAGCATACAAAATTGCATTTTATATTATATTTAACAGAACTCGGGAGAAAATTAAATAGATATTAAATAGAAAGGTTGAAACAGAAACACAAAGAATTACCTAAATAAATATGTAACTGAAAAAATTTAATCAAATGAGTGTCTTGCAAAAATGAAATCTACAAAAAAGGCTTAAATAGTATTTAAACATGCATTTAAACGTGTATTTTAAATAATATATTTGAAAAAGAAAAGAAAAACTGTCAGTGCTAGCCGATTTCCTCCTAAATACACGCTTTCTTTTTTGTTTGTTATGTATCGTTTTTCGGTGATTTTTACTTGGTTTCTCAAATACTGATATTTTTAATACGAAGTAATTTATGATACGCTAATTTTGAGTTTCACTTTTTGAAGCACACGATTTGCAGCAATTACAGCGTAAATCCATCTCGTTTGATGATAAATTTTTTTTGGGCAGTTACTTACAGTTTTTTGGAGATTTTCACGTGGTTTTTCAGGTTCCAATATTTTTAATACGATGTCATTACGACACACTAATTTTGAATTTTAATTTTTGCTTTTTGACGCACTCGAATTGTAACAATTTCTTCGTAAATCCACGTATTTTGATGATAATTTTTTTTTCGGCAGTTACTTAGTTTTTTTGGACATTTTCACATGGTTTTTCAGGTTCCGATAGTTTTAATACGATGTCATTACTAATTTTGAATTTCAATTTTTACTTTTTGACCCACTCGAATTGCAGCCATTTCTTCATAAATCCACGTCGTTTGATGATGATTATTTTTTCCGCCAGTTATGTACCATTTTTCGGAGATTTCATGTTTTTTTGAAAACCCGATATTTTTAATACGATGTCATTAGGACACGCGAATTTCGAATTTTAGTTTTCACATTTTGACGTTTTCGGATTGCAGAAATTTCAATCGTAAATCCACCTCGTTTGACGATTATTATTTTTTTCGGTAGTTACTTGCAGTTTTTTTTTTTTTTTTTTTTTTTTTTTTTTTTTTTTTTTTTTTTATTTNTTTTTTTTTTTTTTTGTGTGGACATTTTAACATGGTTTTTCAAATCGCCAAATTTTTAATATGATATTGTTAAGACACGCGAATTTTTTTTAGTTTTTTATATCATATTTTAAGATATTCAATTCGTGATGATCCCTTCATAAATCCCTGAGTTCTTCCTTATTTTTTTCAAGTCTTTTCCATGTGGTTTTTCAAATTCTGACATTTTAAATTAATAATATGTAATTACAACACGAGAATTTCGAGTTAGAGAAACGAGTAACGATTTCTTCGAAAAACACTTTTGGGGTGCTTTGATTTTAATATGATTCCACATTGTTTTACGATAGGCCTATTTAACTTCTTTTTTCTAATTTCGATATTTCAAATATAATGTTATCACGTCTTGTATTGCTAATTTTAAGTACTTTTTGATGCTCTCTATTTGCGACGATTCTATAGTAAGCCCAAAGCGTTTATAGATAGTTATTCCGGCCTTTTCTACACAATTTTTTTTCCCTTCAAATTATGGTACATTTAATAAGGCTGGTTCTTTTGCACAAATTTTGTGTCAAGTTGTGCCATTGCACTTTTTGCTTATTTGGAACAACTTGACATAATTTTGGGAAAACCAGCATTTTGGAGCAAGCTGGGGCAGGCATTTTGTTTTTGAGCAGTTTGGTCAATTATATATTCTGTGGTTTGGTTTCCAACAATAATGGTAATTTAACTTTCATGGTTTGATTTTAGACAAAAATTACTTTGCAACTGATTTTATATTATAAATTTGTGTAAAAACATAAAATTTTCTAGACAGCTCCAAATCTTAGATTTTAGTTCTATTTTACGTCACTAATTTTTCTGTCATATTTTTTTATATTTCATTCTTTCATGTGATAAATGCAAACTACAAACAGAGAAAAGAACAATTCTAGATTGATAGTTTTTATAATTTATCATTTTAATTAAAAGGAATAATGGAGAATGTAATCCACATAAATATGTGTTTTATTTACTATTGAAATAAATATAAAAGCCCGAAAAACGGTAAGAAATTAAAGATTTAAAATAAATCCTAATTTACTTTACAAAATGTACTTTAATCTTCATTAACACGAGTCATTATTAAAGAATTAATTTTTAAGCATCTTATAGAACTAAATAAAACAAATAACCAAACGATTACGAAGAATTTCAAAAAATCGATTAAAATTAATAAATTAAAACGATAATCTTACCAATCTAATTAGAAGTTAAGCTTTTCACTGTAACGTGGCGCTAATACCGTTCAGACGAGAATGTTGCCATTTATTTGAAAGGAAAGACGCGTCGTAACTTAATTTTAATCGTTAGAGTAGAAACACTCTATATTTATCGTTTCTTTGTGGCTATAATTATTATCCTTTTTGCAAATGTAATCATGATAAGTCAAATGTTTGTCATTAAGCCGATGTTGTAAACGGATATTTCAATCAAAATATTCAATGAGAATGCGGTAGAACAACATTAGTTTCAAATATTATAATTTTAATGTTATTATTGAGCTTCTTTATTGATGTTATTTTGAACTTGCGTTACAAAATTTTGGCAAAAGATTTAGTTTTGATATAAGTTAAAAGATTAAGCTTTGATTTGAAGATTTGAGTTATCGTTTTAAAATTTTTAAATTGTAAACAAGTTATAGTATAATATATATTTTTTGAGTAATTTTTATGTAAAACTGCATCCTGTCAAAATATGCAATTACTATAATGGATTCAAAATAGCTACTTAAAACTAAATGTTAACAATTGTTTTAAATAGTTATTTTTATTGATTTTTCATACAATCACTTTTGCGAAAAAAATTTATGAGTTTTTAAGAAACCTAATATAAAATGAAATTTAAAAAAAAAATATTTCAATTGTTTTAAATATTTAACCATAATTAACACTCTGCAAATTAATTTTTTGCATAATATATAAATACATTTGTAGTTAATACGTATATAACATTTAAATTAAAAAAAAAAGATATTGTGTCCCTAAAGTAAGTATGTATGCCCTCAATATATATATATATATATATATGANTTATATATATATATATAACGAAAAATTTCTTGAAATAACTTCCTTACTTTGAGTATTTAATTCAAATTTGCATAAAAGTCTTAAAGGCAATTATGATTGTGATTCTCTTCTATAATTAATGACATTAACCTTTTCAGCTTTCTGTTATAATTAAACGATGTGATCAATCTTTATGATTAAAGAACAAGATATTTAATATCATGAAATGCAATTAGTGGTTAACTGCATCCATTAAAAAGAGCCTGACCAAGTCCTATTCCAAATTAAAGTGGTCGAGAAATTTGCATTAGGGCACTTTTTATTACATTCTTTCTTTAATGACAATTGTTATAACATTCCATCAACGTTTTGCCCCTTCCGAAAATAGTCACCCACCCTAGCAACCCTTCCAAGAAAGATATGTTTGAATGAATATAAAAACAAAATCGTAATCATTCTTAGGTGGCGCCCCTCCCTCTACACTCGGCTAAACTCCCGCTTATGGAGTGGTGCAGTCCATATCGATCGCCGTAGGGGGGCGCGATTTCGAACACTGCTGCGGTCCGCACCAGAGAGCTGCCTAGAGGAACGTGATGAACGTTCCATGGAATTTGTGCCACAGCCCCAGCGTGAAGCAGAAAAGTTTATTGATTAGCATATCGCCTGCGGGAAAAGTACAGGCTGACCGGTGCGTGCTGGTTGGTAAAGTGCCAGAGATAGAATTTCCCTGTCTCTAGTCGGAGTTTTAACTTCGACAAGACTAATGGAACTGAAGATATGTCACGACACTTTTGGGACTCATAATAATGAACAGTTTCCTGTAAAGGGATGCTTCCTTTAATTTAATTCCTTTAAGTCTCAAAAACAAATTCCACAGAGAAGCCATTGGTATATAAATTGAATGGTCAACATGAGGTATCTTTGACGACATTGTGCTTAGTTTTAAACTCAACTCCGGCAATCACATAGAAGAAATTAAATGTGATAACCTTATCAACATTTGACGTATAAATCATTCTTCACTTGTGATATTATGAAATCTGGAAATTCTGTTTCATACCTAGCGTTGTAAAGATCCTTTTGTTAAGCTTGGAATAAGCAAGATTCGTATTTTGCACACATGAGCAGCAGACTGAGTGCAACGCTCAGTAAATACATTGCAATTGATGGGACTAGAATAGCATGTCTTTTATGGACAATAAAATTTTCATATGGACGATAATTTTTATGTGCCGTCTTGAAATATGACTGCCGAGGTGAGCTTTACGAAGCGAGCAGCGGCCGAGCTCAGCCGCCGCTTCAACGGGCTCACCGTTCGCAGCAGGGGGTCCTCGTCCGCAACTCCCAATAATCCGTCCGCTTCGTCCACCCCTCCCAGCGTCCAGCAGCAGCAGACAACAAATAATACACCCTCCAAGAGTGGTCAGTTGACCAGTTGGATGTTGGAAGGTGTGAAAAGGCAACACCAGAGGAATCAGAACAAACAATGCGAGCGAATTGCAGAACTATTGGCTAATAGGCCTGGCAATTTGGAAGAACTTTGGAAAGATTCGGCTTTTTTGTCCAAATTTTTCTTCTACCTACCATCTATTGACAGAACAGTCCTGGCACAAGTGTGTTGTAAATGGAAAGAGGTACTTTATCAGCCTATGTTCTGGAATGGCATTTTGCCTGTTCTGCATTGTCGAGAACTTAGGGCAACCTCTGGAGATCTTTCTTCTACGTCAGAACTGCGAAAAAGAGTGAGTTTTCTTTTGTTTTCCATATCTTACAACAGACCTGCCAACTTTTTCAGTATTTAGTTAAAAATTTTCCTGTTTATTTAAAATGATTGCAGAAAACATTATTTAATATTTAATTTCGAAAGATTCCATTCGCCATAATATATAAATAATTGAAAGATATACCTAAAATGTTAGAAAAGCAAGCAATATTGTCTTTCGGTGATGGTGAAATTTTAAAAACCTTTATTTACTTAATTGTTATTGAACTACAACTTACACTTAATTATTATTGAACTACCACTTAAAATAATGTGGATGGCTAGAACTTCCGATTTGGCTACTCTGTCTAATCTAAATTAAACTAATTTCTGTATTATATCTTTTACTTGGACATTTCAGGTAGCTTCTGTAACCCTTTTTAGCAAAGTTTGTTTTTGGATTAATGAAACTCATTGAAGAAATTATTTAGACCCAACACACTACATATAAATAATTTAAAAATATTGAACTAAAAATCCTGGTAATCAATTCAATATTGGTTGAATTTAAAAGAATCCTAGTTGGGTAATTTTTTTTTATCTGTATTATTGAGGAATTCTGTTTTTGAGAGATTATTAATTTTTTCATCTAGTTATTTCTGTGAGTAGATTCCGAGTTAGCAGCTCTGAAATAAAAAAATATGTTTTTAGCTATAATGATGAACATCACGAAAGTCATCTTCTTTGGGAACTGATAAGAAATACTTTACATACACATAGCTTCCAAGTAATTCATTTGGCTGTTTCAAGGAAATGTATGAACAATCTAGAATCCGTCCCGATGTTTTACTTAAATCTAAAATAACTTCTACTATTTAATAAACGTATTGTGGTGCTATTTAACTTATACGCTTTATTATGCATTTTTTTACTGTTAGTTCTAACTTTTTTACCGCTGTTATTTACGAGCATGGTAGAAATGTTATCTGGAAGGAGCTTAATTTTTGTTTCTTAACATGTTCACGCCGGGTGTTGCGCCTGAAAGCGGGACAGACAAGAGAAAATACTGGTAGAAGAACTATTTCAATATTAGATAATATTCGGGAGGAGTTAATCTATTCTCAACAATAACAATTCACTGTAAGGAAATTTATCACGGCGAAGAAGCAATTCAATATAAAAATTGCATCCGTTCTAAACAATTGGTAGTTATGGATTTTTATTATTCCCGGAAAAAAACTAAAAAATGAAATTTATTTGTTACCAGTTTTTACTCCGGTGCGCCGCTCGATGAGACAATCTAGCGTGACCCAACGGTGGTTCACCCCGGCGTGAACGTGTTAAAGATTGTTTTCAATTATTTTATAATTTTTTACTTTTAGAATTGGTTTAACCGGTTTCTCACTGTCTGAAAATCTTTTTTTAAAGTGGTAGAAAATATGAGCTAAATCTAGATAGCCACGAAAAATTTTTGATTTAGAGGAATGAAATCTAAATTTAAATCAAATAAAAGCTAATTTAAAATTTTTTTCAGTTGTCTTGTAAATCTTCAGCTACAACCAAGTTTCACCCTTTTAGGGACAAAAATATTGATAAAAAATGTAGTTAAGAGAATTCTAGTTATCGTAGATATATCAAAATTAAAGCAATTAACGGATCAAAATTGAAGCTTTAAGTGAATAATTTTCAAAATAAAAAGTGATTAATTAAAAACCGTGTTGTTTAAAAGTCAAAAACTAAAAGTTTAGTAGTTTATATTATTGTCAAAAATAAGTGGGATTTTTATTCCATCGCCCCTTAAAGGGTTAATGTAAACATTGGATGCATGGTGAGCACCTTACTCAGGGAAAAGAACTTTTTAGTGGAAATAGTGAAAATTATTTCACCTCGCTTCTATTTCAAATAATGTCAAAAATGTTTGAAATATTGCAAAAAACTAAGGAACGAAAAAAAAAAATATTTCAAAAAATTTACTGCTGAAACTCAGTCACAACTACAGTTGCAAAAAAAGCAAAATTTTGTTGTGATTTAAAAATTATTACATTTAACGGAAAATTCTGTCCTCGAAAGTACAAGCTGCATTTTACGGTAATGCAAAAGGTTCTGTTATAAAAGAAAATGTTAGGCTCTTTACCTTTTAACTCAACGGTAATGTTCTAGCTTAAAGAGACATAGCATATATGAAGTTAAAGAGCATGTGCATACATATTCTAACTAAAAATTCTAACTTAGAATAAGTAATAATTATAACTTAAAATATGTTAGCATGTGCATACATATGTAACATATTCTAAAATATACGATATAACTAAGCGGTACATCTATAATACACATTTAAGTGTAAATGCCTTATTACTTTTGTACATAAAAGCACCTTTTGCATGCTTGTATAATGGAGCTCGTTCTTTCGCATGCAGAACTTTCCGGTAGATTTTATAGCTTTATGAAAAAAGTAGTAGAGCATTTATGCATAGACAATATAAATTAGATTCCGATAGACCTGATACCTTCATGAAAAAAGTAGTAGGGCATTTATACTTAGCCCTTTGACCACGAATTTTATAAAAATGATTTTTCTGTCCCGTTTATTATTCAAAAGGACAAAATAGGTCACAAATAAGGCAAATTTAGTATTTGAGATTTTTCTGACAAGTGGTTATCAATTTAGAGGCTGGGACATATATGTCCCGGCCGTACTTAATGGTGGGATACATATGTCCATTAGTAATTTTTAAACATTTGTTGGGACAAATGAGCCCCGTTAGTAGTCAAAGGGTTAGTATAATTTGATATTTTTCTGGTAGACCTAATATACCATTATGAAAAAAGAAGTAGGGCATTTATGCTTAGACCGATTTGATTTTTCGTAATGTTAGCCGCCACTTGACTTTCAAAATAATTTTAGACCAAAATATAGATAGTACTTAAATAATCAATACAGATGCTCATGTTGCAATTTTGAGAAAACGAATGCTTAGTTCCTCCAAACAACCATTAAAAATGAAATAATTAAGGTACCAGTCTTTTTAATTGAAAATAATTTATGAAATATATGGATCAAAATATTAAGAATAAAAACAAGCTGCAATACGCAGCGCTTTATTAAATTTAGCATTGCTAATTAAAAGTGAATGTTAATTAAAATTACTAGGGGGCTAAGCCTCCTGTTCGCTGGTAATAATTGTTGTTTACAAGCAAACAGCTTTTTTGCTATAGTTAAAATTATTCACTTAACTTATATGTACTAAAAGGCTTTTCCCTTCACTTCCTACACCCAAATATTACTATCTATTAGTATGATAAATATTTAGATCCATTGGAGAACAAAAGTAAATTTTTCTAAATAAACATTTTTTAAAAATAACATTTATCGGGGTGATACATTAAATACTATTTTTACTTGCATCTCATTGTGCATGAAGCTGATCGTTAAGTTCTAAATCATTTAATAGATCTCTTTAACTGTCATTTATAGCAGTATATTAATATTATTTGCACAAAAATAATAATTGTAAAGCGGTTAATAAGATTAGGCCACCTTTCTAAATAACTTAATCTTCAAATGTAGGGCAGAATTATATTATAATAAAAACAACAATTCTCTTAGTTTCAAACTCTTGAATTAAAATCGTAATAGTAGCAGTACAGGAAAAAAACTTTAAATTAGAGATACAAAAATATTTATAGAAAAGCGATACCTTTATGACTTTTACAAATTTTATTTACCACTTTTAACCCTTTCAGGACAGGCGAGTCATGAGTGTGTTCGTAAGGCAGAGATGCCAACTCGGGACACGCCAAAATAATAATTAATAAAAAAACAGTAAATAACTAAAGTAAACGTTTCAAATATTTGACTATTTTTGCTTGCTTTTTAAAAGGTATATCATGACATAAGAACTACAAGAAGGTGAATTATATGAACCTATGAATTATTTAGAAATAGTGGTGGATAAAAATCTACTAAGATTAATTTATTAAACCAAGAATCACAATTGATAAACTACCACTTTAAAATATATATTTGCTGTGCGGAGCAAGTTGGCATCTCTGTTAATTATCACAAAATCATTTTATTCAAAATTAATATTTATGGAATAAAAGACTGGTAGTAAAAACATTCGATTTGTGTCGTTTTTCTCTCTGAAGTATTCGTGAGCACCGCTACGTATCGATTGTTACAAACATAGAAATTTATCATTAATAACATTCATCTGAGATCCTGACAAAGTTTTCAGTCATTTTCCTGCAGAGTATTTTGAGAACTTTTACTGGTAAATTAGTTAAAATAGTAACAAGAGTGTTATGCCATTTTTCTTTTATTTTTGGATGAAACAGGATATTTAAATTATCACGTTATGTTAACAAAAAAATATAATAGTAATTAATTATAAAATTGTTTGCTGTGTTATTTTCATATTGAAGTGAAAAATACAAGTTAATTATTTTGCTAGTTTTAATTTTAATTAAAACTTTTGCCTATAATTCAAAGTAAACTGGCTACCGTTTTTCAATTTATTAAAGTACCTGCATTAATGATATAAATTTATGTTATTGTGTGATATAAATTTAATTCAACCATAAATTTATATAAAAATCTCAATTATGAAATTTAGGTTGGTTTTTCAATTGCACGGCAGTTTTAATGTAATGTAATTTCAATTAAAATGTTTTACGACTTCTGATTTTTTTTAAATTAGAATTGTTTTGGGAAGAACTGACACAATTGTCAAACTGCGACCATTTAATATCCGTCTCGAACGTTTTTTTTATTTTTTTATTACCTGGCCTAAAGCTTTTTTGGAAAGCAGAATATGCTTCGAATAATTGCAAAATTAAATTAGCCGATTAATGCTAAGTGATGAAAATTGTCATTACACAAGAAACACTTACCAGAAATGCCAACTTGCTCCGGACAGCAAATCTATATTTTAAAGTGGTAGTTTATCAATTGTGATTCTTGGTTTAATAAATTCAATTTAGTAGATTTTTATCCACCACTATTTCTAAATAACTAATAAGCTTATATAATTCACCACT